TCCTTTGCCCAAAGAAATGAGGAGTTTCAAGCCTTAAAAGCAATATGAAACGCACTGCCATCAGGAAGACAATCTATTTTGCGCATTTACTAAATAATAACTGTTACCACACGATCAAAAACCATCGTGATAATTTCCCCAAGAATTATTCTGTAGAGTGGAGGAGCGTTACGAATATCAGCTAATTCCTTCTGTTCCGTCCGAGAAAGTAAGGTTGACAAGAGTGAATGGAGATGTGAGCAGAGTATGGCCGTTGCTGCAACCAATCCCTCTTCCATTGAAATGCAACCTCTTCCTGAAAATGGAAAAAGAGTCACAAAATTGTCGCACAAACCTTGAATTTGGTGAATACAAAGCAAAGCGAGTGTGCTGGCACAGTAATCCAAACCAGCAAACCAAAACATGTCTGTTGCGACAGGAACACTCAAATCTCTCGTAAGATCCTGTATGATGGCTTCTCCTCGTGTTGTAAACGTATCGACATCCAAATCCCTGAGATCTGCAATTCTTATAGACATCCCTTCAACATCACACGGATTAAATTGATGTCTTGTGTACAGGATGGATCCGTAAATAACGTGTGTTAAAAGGATAAGCCAGTTGCCAATGTGTCGCGTCTCTCGACACACTTCAACAACAACATGAGCCAGAAAACTAACAACAAAGCGACCCAGGTTTTCTCCATCCTGATTTAAATAAAAATCAAGAGCTAATTGAGCTCCATTCGAAGCATCTCTCGCTGTTTGAGACTCCCTACCAATGTCTCCACACCACCTTACAGCATCACAAATCTGCCTAATGACCCCATGAACGGGGTCTTCAAAAGCAATATTCCTCTTCCAAGACGGCTTAAGAGTGGATAAATCCTTACCCTTCAAAACAGCCGCATCTGAGCCCCGTGTAAAAGCAAGATTCTTAAAGTTTTCCTTGCTGATTGTATTTGACACGCCCCCCGTCCTTCGATGCATGGGTGCAACTAACGGGTGTAAAGATGTATCCGGGGCTGAAGCACACTTGTCAAAATTTATTTTATTGAGTTCTTTGTCCACCTGAGTTTCTTTCGTCTCAGAATGGATATCCTCGCTCCTTTGCTCGCTTGCAGTCCCTGTCAAACTATCAATGACACTTAAGTAATCGTCAACCACAAATGAAGTGGTTGAATGATTAATATGTTCCTCAGAGGGATCGTGGGGTCCAAACAAGGACGCGGTGCTCGGCTCGCGCATGTAGGAGCTAGAGGATGCATTGGAAGCAGTTTGAACATCTTGTTGCCGGATATAAAGACTTTCTTTTACACCCCTCAGTCTTAAATGAACCTCTGTTAACCCGTCCCGTTCACGGATAATCACCCTTCTCTCCGGAAAAGTTTCTTCAACAATGTTCTTGCTCAAGTCGTAGGACAAACTTGTCACAAAATGGGAGCGCAACTCTTCAATGCGAACCTTGAGTGGCTTCTTCTTGTACTTCCAATCGTTCTGTCGTTGCAGCGTTGACGTAAAGATGCGAGACAAGTTCACGTGAAGCTTTCCTCCATCGTCTGCAATGAGCGGAGGCGACGACGCGTGAATCTTGTCTCCCCGTTTAACGTGAAGTAAATAAGTCTTTCCCGCCACACATCCGGCTACCATATCGATCGATAAAAAAAAAACTATGCGCACATCTCGCGTAACCTTACTCTGCATGGTAAAGAAAAACTAACAAATGAAAAATTATATATAGAAAGAGAGGGAGGAAAAAAGAGTTGCTACCAATATATAGAAGAGAAGACCAAAAAAAAAAAAAAAAAGAGAGAGAGAGAGAGAGAAAAAATAAAAATAAAACTTGTTGTTCTTGTTGTGTTTTGCTTGTTTGTGCTTCTTCGTGCTTGCTCACCACCTCGGAGTCGTCCCCCTTGTCTTAATGTACTCTTCGGACCTCTGACGTCCAATTTCCTGCCTGAGCGATGCGGTCTCTTCCACACTTCGAAGCACTCCCATCTCCTCCATTTCGGCTCGTCCCTTCCTAGCAGTGCTCCAACGCTGCAGGATGGCATCATCTATTGATCCACCACTAAGTACCTTTTTATGAAGCTCGGTTGGCTCACCATCACCACCTTCCTCACTTTTTTTCAAGCCACTTTTCGGGTCAACATCCTCAAATGCCACCTTACTAGGCTTGTGCGCGAGTGAAAAAAGAACTCTTGAGAACTCCGAAACAGCGTTCTCGCACCTAGACATCTGCTGAACCGTGGGTAATCCTTCTAAGGAAGTCCTTTTTGCTACCTCC